GTGTGTGTGTGTGTGTGTGTGTGTGTGTGTGTGTGTGTGTGTGTGTGATATAGGTGGTGTGTGTGGTCCATAACTTCAAAGGCAAGTTACTGCTGAGCGAGGACTCACCAGAGGAGCGGTCCAACACAGCCATGCTGAACATGGGCCGGATGGAGAGTCCTCTGGAGAAGTACATCGCCTCACAGGTCAGTACAGCACCACACACCTTCTTATGCTCACATTTTCATGCATGTCTGTATGAAGCAAACTCACAGTGAACATCAGCTGTAGAACAATATGGCTCTTTGAACACTATTATGTTTCGTTAAACACAGAGATTCAGTTTTTCTTCCAAATTGTAGTAGCCGAATACCTCTGGATGCCCGCTTCAGTGATTCAAATAGCAAAGGTGTTGGAAAACCTGAGCAAGCAGAGCTTTTTAGAAGTTGGGAGGTCATATTCCTGTGCTAGAGCGTTCCTGTGTAGAGGTTTTGTTGAGGTCGATGCAGCCGTAGATGTTTTTGCAAGTCAACTTACAGAACAGTGTTAGCAACGCAAAGCCAATTTTGCTGACAAAGTCAATGGAAAGATGTGATTAGATTAGACACGTGTGACGCACATACCAAGCAGCTTTGTTGCCTTACCCCAACTAAATAGTTTTCTGTGAGGATGGAAAGACTATTGTAGGAAAACACAAAGAAAAATGTATGAGTATACGTTGACTGTTGTTTGGTTAGGGCGAAATAACTTCTTGGTCATCATGTCACGATGACTTGATGACAGTCAATCATTCGCAGGTGGGATGAAGGACGTGACCCCGATCTCCGGTGTCGAAACCCTACAAACTATATTTAGCAACCTTTTAGTTACATAATAAATAATCCACAGACACCAAAAGTCCGGACAGTTGATTTGGCAGCTCACCTGGAGAGGTTAAATCAAGGTAGATGTGAAGTGACAGGTGTCAGCTACAATCACTCAGCAGTATATTACACACAACGCTGGAGTCAGTGTTCTCAGCCCGATATATTGTACGTGGTTTCACCTGCCAAGTAAGATCATGCCACTGTTTTGATATACTTCCTTTTAGTCTTCAAATAATTGGTTACATCAGTTGATTTACTCATGGCAGTCTTAATAGTAAAAAGATATCAGCAAGTGCAATGAATTAGTGAAACTATTAGATTCCTTGTTGGATTGGAATGAATTGTTAACACATTAATAGTGTTAACATATGCTACTTCCAGCTTCACAAATGTGGGAATTTGCCGCTCTTTTTGGAAATGAAAGCTGTAACTTTGTTCCCATCTTTTCATAAACGAGTGCCAATGACTAACTAGGACAATTATTTTATTGCTTAGATATACAGTATGTTGATAATATACCCATATTGGTCTAACCCTGGTGTATTTCTGTATTTAGATCATGTGTGCATAAACTGTTTCGTAATGTTAGCATTTGTTCATCGCTACAGTTCTTGTTCTTTTTGGGCTTAATACCATTAGCCATTAGCCCTAATAAAGGGTACAGGTAGCAGTGTCTGACTTTTAACGACACACCTACACACACACTGCTGTAGGAGACGGATGATGAAGATGAAGAGTCTTGCTACATTAAGGAGCGCCTCCTGGCCTTCCTGCACTGGCTGCAGGGTCTCGAATGGTTCCAGTGTCTCAGGAACAAAAGGCAACAAACCGTGACGTGGTTTCAAACTCCAGCTCTCTCAAATCTCTGGACATATCTATACCTTTTCACTTATGAATTAGACTGGCTGATATTGTTCTGTAGACCTGGTCCAGCATCTGTCCTGTCTGGTCTAAGAGCTACTACACCGAGGTAACTAGGGGATACAATCATACGTTAGCAAAACTTTTATTAAGTATGTGTCCTGCCAGGACAGATGAATCTAAATCAAATACACACAATCTCAACAGTTCTGCTCCTCTCAAATTTGCCCCTCAATTTCCGGAAATCAATGGTTGGCTCTATATGAAATATTGCAATTAAGAGGTGAGAATCATCTTTTTTCTCTCTTAAGAAATCTGTTCACCTGTACTTTACATGATGTTTGTGTCAATTAATGAACTGCCTTCATGTAGCACTTCTCTATTCTTAGCGACCGCTCAACGCGCTTTTCAACCCAAGCCAGCATTCACACACACACACACACACACACACACACACACACACACACACACACACACACACACAAACTCACAGCAAGTTTCAGTATCTTGCCCCGGGACACTTTGAACAGGGATCGAACCACCGACCTTCTGATTAGGCGACGACTGCTCTGACTTTTGAATCTTGATTTCTTGCATCAGAGCACTCCTCGTTCTCCCATCTGAATCAGATTCACTCACCGTTTCCACAGCAGATGTTTTGACCTGTCATAATAGGAAAAGCACAGGTGGAACTACCACAAATAACCATGACTTTGTTCAGCAATTATTGCAAGGTAATGCCACAGCTAATGGTGTTATTGGCGACACATATTTCCAAGGTTAAATTGTCTGCTGTGAAAAAGTCTATTCAACCTTAGCATCACTCCAATAATGTTCAACCGCTGGGGGGCCCTCAGGGCAGCCTCAGGTTTGGAACCACTTAGCTAGACCAACAAATCCCCTTCACTAAGGAAATATCTAATTCCACATTGCCTTCCAAAATGACCTATTTTTGCATTTTTTGATTTTGCACCATATTAATATGTTACTATGCTATGGTTGCAGATTAATCATACTTTGAATAGATGAGATACTTTCAGTGCATCAAGGGCTTGCAGTTGCTGAAGTTTCCACTAGGATAGCCAGAGCACCCCCAAGAAATGCCAGTGGTTTATTCATAATCTTACATTTTTAATGCCTCAGAATACCTATATTTTATTGAGTGTGTTTGCGAGGCACATTAGTTTCTGGCGGGTGATTTGATCAGGGGGAGGAAAAGTCACAGGAAAAGTCCCAGAGAGCATCAGACACCCACAGTGCCTAGAGCACGTTGGACCAGGACGGGTGAGCGGAGGGAATTTCCCCTCAACACTCACAGACCGGCTCACTTCCTCCGCTCTCCCGCTCAACTCAGATTTCGTGCCGCTACACTCAAAACGCTCACAGCTCGCTCAGAAAATAGAAACAAGCTGCGTTGTATGTTACTTAGGGCTGTACTGGATTTGTTTGGGGGCTCACAGGATTGAACGAAAAGATGTATGTATTCTTCTTCCTGGACTGCATCCTACTGAGACATACAGTATGCCGTCATTAGAGGGACTTATGGTGATTTGTCTTAGTGTTAGAGCAGTATGAGGCCACAGACATGCAGGATTAAGTACCACATGGTTGAGGATAATACACACATACAAGAAGTGTTCACTCTAAGTGCCTTCAAAAGCTTTATTCTTCAAGAAATAATACCAGGATTACACACTTTTCCAACTTTTCATCATCATCCCTACCAAAGTGTTTATATTTTAAAAATGACAACAACAGTGGACATGAATTAGTGAACGACAACATCAACAGTGAGAACACTGATGGTTGTAGTATTGAATATGTATGTGTCTCTAAGGGGATGGGATTCCGAAATAGCCAAATGTGTGTTTGTTGTGTATTCCTGTGAGAATGTGTTGGTTTTGGGTGTAAGATAAAGTTGTAAATGTAAATTGGCTGGTCATGCAGGATAGTGTTATTTTTTTTTAAAGACTGTCCTAATACTATACTCACATGCCCATTGGCTGTCTGTAAAGAGGTGATTTCCTTTTTCAGGTCCAGACCAGGCGGCATCCTCCGGTTCTGCCGAGTGAAGCCCATGTTGAAGTGTCTTAAAACTTGCATTCTATCTACTGACCAGCAGGGGGCGACTCGTCCAGTTGTATAGAAGTCCGATTGTATAGAAGTCTGACCAAAAATGAAGCAGGGTATGCTTTAGGGCGGGAGTACTGTGATTGACAGGTTACTGCCGCTACCAAAGCCATATAAATATGGTCACTTCGGTTCACCGGTTGCAAAAAGGCAAGATGGCGAAGGCCAAATTACCAAACTCAAGGCTTCCTAACGCAGTTCACAAACCATTGGATTATGTCACTAAATCCGCTTCTTATATACAGTCTATGGTTGAGACCTTTTGATCAATCCGCCCACTCCACCGAGTCCCAGACTGATTCGTCTGGGATGGGGACAAGAAACAGCAGCTTCTCGGTTAAAAATGAATTGACCAATGGCAGGACTACCGATTAGCCAATCAGCATTATGTGCGGGACAGACGCTAATGTCAAGCTATTGTGAGGCGTTTTCAACCTGTGCGTTGAAGACAGCGTGTTTTGTACGCTCCGCTCCACTCTTAAAAACCTGGCAAATCAATAACGACTTAAAGTGCCATTAGATTGAGGCGGCTACGTTAGCCTACTGGAGGTAGTGTCAGACTGAAGATTCTGTCTGCTATCAGACAAGTTTCCTGTTTTTACTTGGTAAGTTTGTAACATGTAGTTATTAATGCTGCGGTCTTGCTTTCAGTGACTGACTAATAACAGCACACAATATTCTCCAGTGGTTTCACATCTAAGGGTAACTCTGGTTTATTACAGCTTGGGTCTTATTTTTCAGATTGTATTCATCCATTTAACAGCAAAGATAGATGCTGTACCAGAAAAAGACAACAATATAGGATCTTTTTCTATTTTAATAGCAGTATATATTAAGTAGCAATATTTCGTAGTTTTGCCCATCATTTCCAGTAGTTCCAATAAAATCATATTCACCACGTTAATTGGCGAGATCACACAGTGAACGCTCAACACGAGCAGTCAGAAGATCAGACAGGTTGTGAACAAATGGCCATTTGGCTACCTGACTACTTTAAAAAAAATATATGTGATAAAGGTCTGGTAAAAGATCTGGTCTCAGATCTAACAATTGTAAGTGTACGAAGAGTTAGCTTTGAATTTGGGAACCTCCAATGCTGAGATCTAAGGCACTGAGTTCACTGCAGAAGAGATACATGGGCTGTTTCCCTTGATAGGTGTTAGAAATATAGAGTATAGTGTGCAGGTCTAAGTTTACAGTCACCTTGTATGAATCTCACAGCTCTTTGATGCAAAAAAAATAATATCATCCCAGTCCAGTACAGACAAGAATATAGACTGAGCTAACTGTTTGTTGATGGTTTTTTAATCTGTCCAGAAGGTTAAGATATCGTCTGAATTCTCTTTACAATGAGGGTTTCCCCACATTTAAGGTGTTCAGACTTTCAGTTTGAGCTCCAAATAAAGCGGTTTAGATAATCTGGTAAACTGGATTAAACTGGTTGTTGTTGGCCCTGTCTGACCTACTTATAGTGATGTCACCATGTTCCCAGATCTCAGCTATTGCAGTGTTTTTACCTCTGATAGAAGTCATGGACAAAACTACAAAAATAAGAGCCAGCGTGGAATTTCCTTTGAACAAATCAATTGGTCCAAACATGGTCCTTTGGCCCACTGACTACCCATCTGTTGGGCTGGTGGCCATCTTGGTCCATAGCGATCAAACCAGTTTGTATCCAATGAAATGAAAGAGAGGAAGAGGCAAAATTCAGCCACACTCAGCACTGTCCAGAGTATTTGGAATGTGAGGTTGAAGTGCTTTTCTTCCTTTCTCTTTGTGTCTGAGTGAAATCCTTCTTTTTACATCTTCAGAATTCATGATGCCAGATGTAACAGAGGCGTGCTCCTATTTACTCCAGCCTGCTGTGTTGTCTTCTCGCTTCCTCTAACACGATACACATTTAGCATCTGAACGTAGAGAATACACGACTCCTATCTGATGATTCAATTCACAGCTTCCTGCTGAGAGAGCCTGCCGCTCAGTCGCTTGTAAAGAATAGAAAATCTCACCCTCTCACCTCGTCTACGACGGAAAATTGACTGCTCTAAAAATAGCTCAGCGTAAAGATGCCTGAAAGCTAAACAAGCCACAGTGAACAAAATGTCAGGGCAGGAAGGAAATAAATGTATCCCACGCTTTTATTCTATTTCTTTCTTCTTTTGTGGAATGGAATCCAGAATCCAGCTGGAAGATGCCATAGCCGTACATTTATAAGTAAAGTTTCCCTGAAAGATAAATGAAACAGGCTAATGATTTGATCAGATTTTGCACCAAATCTGCTTTGTAGAAATCAGATCAAAACACACATCACGTTCTCGTTTGGAGGGTGAGTTATTGCTTTTTACCAGAAACACAACAGGAGAAAACTGCCATGTGAGAGATGTTTTCGCCAATATAAATGCTAATATCTCTCCTTATTCAAATGAAAACTCTAAAATGATGAAAAGCGAGACAAATCATTGGCTAGAACTTGCAGCCTCAACAGACTACTGGATCAGTCATCAACATCAGAGGGTGTGTGTGTTTTATAACAGGAGGCGAGGTCAGTTATTTGATGTTGATTTTACATCTTCATCGTTGATCAGATGTACAGATTAAGAAGTAGGGAAGGGTGACATGTCAGGAGCTGAGTCTGAGTGGTATGTCACTGTTGATTACCTGTGTCCTGCTACTGTTTTCTGTCTCGTGTCACTCATGGTCTACTGTCATATCTGCGGTATGGCCAATCGTTTTGGTTAGTATGCTTAGTATCGTCTTGTTTTATATGCCGACTCTAAGTGGTACGCCACTTTGACTAGTGGTATGTTACCGCTGCTTTTATTTATTGATTTATTGCTGAAAATTTAAATCAAACATTTCCAATTGCAACTCCACAGATGGCCAGAAAAAAAATGCAGGCACACACCAATTCCCAACAGTATATCATGAACACCAGTGAGATACCCTTTAATGTGGTATGCATACGCCATTAGGCACATAGCAACGTACCACCAATCAAAGTGGCATATGACACTAAAACAAGACTGGCACCCTATTGGTCCAATACTGTCCCTTTAGAGTTCTTCTATTCTTCTGGTACGTGGTACCAAAGGGCCTATTATCCGCTGGCATATTTGTACAACTTGGCAGAATACTTATTATACTGTACAATACATTTAAAAAAAATACTACTGTACAAATAAATCCCCACACTAAAATGAAACATTGACTGACCTCTACTCCACCACTAGTGAAACCATAAACAGAGTTCGTTAGAATAAACAATCAGTGCTGTCATGTTTCATGAATAGGACCTCCTCTCTCAGCAGTGAGCTTAGTATAGCAGCAGTATAGCTCCTTGAGGAGGTAGCGAGAAAAGCAGTCTTTAACCCCTCCCTCCTCCTCTTCTCGCTCCACAGCCAAACGCACGCTGAGGTTGGATTAGAGAATCAAAGGCTCTAGTCTGCATGAACAACCATCCCCTGCCGCTGCTGCGTCTTACTGGCATTGTTCTGCCAGTCTTGCATGTTGTGATGGTTGCTCCTCGGGGCTAAGTCTAGTTCTGTTTGAACTGCTCTGAGATATGTTTAGAACTTGCTCTGATGCTGTGTTTTGGACATATTGAGGTTCTTGGTTTTAAGGGCAATTTGGTATATTCCAACCTGGTGTATTTCCATTCTTAAGTATACCCTATAATACACATACTTGGACACATGACCAGGTTTGTATCCTGGAGTTGTTGGGTGTTTAAAGGCTTACAACTGACAACTCCAGGCGACCCGACCAAGTGTCTCTCTACTGGCCCCAGTGGGCACCTCTTTTCGGCCAGAGCCATGGAGATGCTTTCTCTGCCTCCTCCACGTAGTTATTGATGGCTCCTCTCCTGCTTGGTGGGTTGCCTCCTTGTGTCCTTGTGGTGCCAATGAATCCTCAGTACCCTCATGTTCTTACAGATCTTTGTGACTCTTTGTGTTGTGCTAACTTTGCACTTTTCAGCCCGGTTGTAGAGATTAGGGAAACAAAGACTTGTGTAGCAACAGATATTAGGGCAAACTGTGTGAGTCTCCTACAGCTTCGTCAGGTGGAAATATACCAGATTGTTCCTTTAAACCATCTCACAATCATAACATCTTTCTTTCTGGTTTTCTGATTTTTTTTTTTCTGTTGTGAAAACAACCTTTAATGATTCTGTTATTTGGAGCTTTTCCCTCATAGATTAATTTGTGGCTGAACGTATTTTCTCTTTTGGCTGACGATGGCTGGAATGTCCATAAAAAAACTGACCAAGAGCAGCCTAAAATTACTTTTGAGGAATCTGTCCAAATAAACGTGTCCAGAATACCTTGTCTCCTTTGTCCTGATTTTATTCGTATTATCTTTCCTTCCTCCCTGCAGAATCACATCGCCTTCGCTGAGGTCACATGACGTGGAGTCGGCCGTCTGGCAGACCCATTGGACGTCCACGCTCTGCACTGTCCAATCCAATTAACCGGAGCGCAGCGCTAAACCCGCTCTGTGTGTGTGTCTGGTCTGCTGGTATGTTGTTCGATGTTGTCTTTATCAGGCCCCTGTTGTCATTTGCAGCTTCTCGTATTCAAGGAAAAAAAGAGAAGAAGGAAGAGTCAGTGACCCAGACGAGAACAGGTTCCTTCTGCTTTCTCCATCTATGCACTTCTTCTGAATCCTTGTTTGACTTTGGCCTCTCAACTAAAGCGTGTTGTGATGCAAACCGGAGCAGACTGGTCTAAACATTGTGGGACACTAGAAGAACAAGTGAAGAACTGGATGGCACCATCTCAACTCTGCCAAGGTCAAATATGTTGTCATGGTGTGATTATGGAAAAAAGCAATGTTCCGTTAAGATGGCTGTAAGTCTTTAACAGAGAAATACGTTTCTCTATGTTGCTAAAGTTGAGTTTTTACTGTCCTCACATCACCTTCATGACATTCAGAGGACCGCTGTGAATATCAGAATATGACATTGACTGCTGGACCCGTATTTATCAAACTGATTAATGTGAACTTTTGGACTCACGCATAAGAATGAAAGCCATCTATTAAATGCCATTTGACTATAAATACCCTTCAATTTATGAGAGCTCCAGACTGAAGCAGTAGCTATAATAGTAGTAGATGATGAGGTCCACCCAGCGAGATCTTGGGTTGAATCGTACTTTAACTGGTGGAAGCAAAGCAAGTGCCCGCATTGATCATCAGATGCATTTGACACTTTGTCCCGCGCTCTCACGCCACGCATTCTATTTCTAAATCAGAGAAAAACAAATGTACTACTGATAACTTAACTTATGATAACATGCATGCTCTATTTTGCATTTTATTGTTTAGAATAAAGAGCCTACAAATATAAAACTGGAAATGATATGACAACAGGATCAAAAACTTAGATGGAGGATACTTGAACCCGCAACAAGCTGCTGCCTGTCCTGATGGAGTTGAACACGGAGCGAGACGGTTTAAGTGATTCACAACTCTTCGTGGATCTGTGTGAACTTTATTCAGTCAATAAACTCTGTCGGATAATTGTTCAAAACCACGTGTTTGATTTGCACATAGCACGGTCGGGGCTGTGTGGTTATTTTACAACAGTCTGATGCTGGTTGCACATTATGTAAGCAGTGCATCTGCAGTGTGTAATTGTGACATCATCGCTCCAGCTAGAGACTGCAAGGAACGAATAGAATAAAGTCATTGCTGCTCTCACAACAATTGACTTGATTACACATATGACCAAACTAATTCATGTTTCTGTTCGTGCAGCTATAACCGCGTGTGTCATCTCAGGAATCCATTTCATCAAACAGAAATTGGTTGTTTTCATATTTGGCCTGTTTCAATCTTTTAAGTGCACTCAGGCTAAGCATCATTTTCGGCTATGATGCCTGGAGGTTGGCAAATATATATTGATCAGCCATACTTTATTCATCATTGACGTGGCTTTTCATCTATTAATGCTCTCAAATTGTGAATTTGGCTGCTTAACTTTTACAACACCATTCTCGAGGGTTTAGGGGTTATGACCTCTGACCCATGCGGTGGATGATGTCACAGAAGGCCGACTGATAAAATGACTTCACCGATACAGAATCTCCCTCCAAACTGGATTAAAACTCCACTTGAGAAGCACGGTTTGCAGTCGGTCATGAGACGGGAAGTTACGTCTTTTCAGCAGTTTTCAGAATACTTTTGGTCTCGTTAGCGACTGAGCTAGCTCGCTAATTTGTTGGAGAATGCTTGTTGTTCAGACTGCAACACGGAGTCATTCACATCACTGTTGTTTCATACTTGTACGATTTGGACTATGTTAACATGTTTTTTGTTTTTTTAACCAGCCAACCAACTAATTAAGTAGACTAATGAGGACAGACACAGATCTATACATGCTAGTGTAAAACTGCTGTGGTGATGCACTTTTGGAGGAGCTTTGTCAAGTGTGAGAAAACAACTCTGAAGAACTTGTTTTGCAAAGTCAGGTTGTAAAGAAAGACTTGGACGGCGAGGATCTTTTGCAATGTGTCTCTTGCCAGTCTGGAAGTGCAATACTTTATATCAACAGGCCGATCCTAAGTCCCGCCCCCGGATGTTACTGCTGCTATGTCGGACGAGCTTGACAAAAAGAAACATGTTGTGTGTATGAGATAGTTTCTGGATAGCTTCAAGAAGCTGACAGCGAGGACTACAGTATGCATTATGTTCATAATGTAATGTGATTAACATAGCAGCTTCACACAGACATAGCATGACAGGATGAGAGATGACCCATGGTTCCACCAGGTTCCAAGCCTGCTCGATTGGTATTGGAGCACTGAGTGGGGCGGGACTTAGTGGGGCGGGACTTAGGAAAGGTCAAATGCATACAACTTAAAACATGATTCTTGGAACTTTGATAAATATGGGCTCAGGTCAAAGTAGCAAATTAGGAAAACTGCAAAACTTTGTCTTTGTATTCATGTGTCATTTACGCTCCTGACATCTCTATGAGGGTTTAGGGTGTGTGCACAAGAGTGTATATGTGTGTGTATGTGTGTGTGCAGTCAACTCCACACTATACACTCTTTATTCTAACAAAAACGTCAAGCCGCATCAGACAATCACCGCCTCCCTCTCTTTCCTTTTTATCTTCTTCTTGTCGTTAAGAACAGGTCGTGGGTGAGTGGATGCAGGTCTAGCAATCCAACAGTGCACATGAGGAATGGACTTGGTGAAAAGAGCACGCAGTCTCTGCAACCCACTGTCAAACCAATGCTGTTTGCTTTCTTTGATTCATGTGAAAGCTAAAAAATACAAAGGTCAGCCTGACTCACAGGCCAAAACTGAGATTTTTTATGGTATGCATTTATTAGACGTACATAGTTCTCCTCTCGTCTCACTTCTGATGGTTACAGTGATGTAAGAAAATCTACTGTCTTGTCTCGGAGAAAAGATTTCTTCATGGCCCGTGTCTTCGGTATCAAACGGAGGCGGAGACATGCTGGGCTGGCCTCACGCTGCAGGGAGGCCGTCGCTGTAGTTCCATCTCACAGCCAATCAGGACATGAAAGTCTTTGATCATCGACTTGGCTACAAGTCTTGTTGTTGCACTATTTGTTCCTCTAAAATTTGTAGTGTACTTCATTAAACACGAGCGGAGAAGTTTACAGCAATCTGGTCCACTTTCTTGGTTACATTTAATCATCAATTACTATCCCTCATACAGATATAATGCTGATTGTTTTAATGTATACATGTTTTGTATTATTGAGTCATGTTCTTATTATATTAGTTGTCTTTTTGAAGGCCTGAACCTATTACTGTCTGGAGTGACTTTTACAACTTCACACAAAACACCTGGGCATGAAACAGTCACATTTAATGGAACGTGTTAATATTTGAGTAAATGTTCTTGTTTATGGTCTTCCTCAGATTCACGAGACGTTTTATTTCAGTTTTATCTCTGTGTGTACAGCACAGGATGAAGTTAGCCTAGCTTAGCACAAAGGCTTAAAGCAGAGGGATCAGAATTATGATTTCTCTTTTTTAAATATTGTCCGTAGTCACATCGCCCACATGTTTTTAGTATGTTCAGTACAAGATGTAAGGATATGTAATAGAGCTTTAGATTGGTTTGAATTAGTACTTTTCCCTCTTATGATGTAGCTGTCTCTGTACTGGACACACAGCGATGCTATCAACATTCATGTTGTTCTGGGTAACTCAACAAACACATTGCAATAATGTGAAAAATGAGAAGCTATGACTATTCACATTGGACTCGCTAACAGTTAACATTTGACAGATGACCTGCATTAATTCATATTTTTGGCCAGAAATCCCAGTTTGTGAAAATTGTGCTCTACGTTCACAATGTCACAGTTAACTATACACAGTTATAGATATAGATATAGATATATTGGTGGAGCTTAAAGGAGAGAGAATGTCTGAATATGGTGTTGGTTTTCTTTTCTGCCCCCTAGTGGCCAAAAATGGACGAGTGCAGCTTTAACTTGTTCATCAATTGATAGATTTACTGTTCATTAACTGACTGACTGTTTTAAGCAGTGACTAACACCAATGCTGGTGACTGTACTGTATATTGTATATTTGCATTGTATCAGAGTCCCGTCCCTCGTTTGTGTCATTCTTCTTTGTAGCAATAACATGTCAGGCTTTCTTTCCCATCAGGAGGCAGGATAGGAACGCATCGAAGCTATAATTCTGTTGCCCCTTCAAATGTCTATTTTTGTAAGAATCACTGAAGCACTTATGAATAAGGACTCCAGAGAGGAACATGCAAGAAGCAGCACTTTGAATCAAGCTGTAACTCATTGCTAATGATAGGGCCACTCATCTCGCTGCTGCTTGAACACAAACATTACGCAGAATATTCAGGACTCTAAAACAATGACATCGGCTCATATGTGCACCGCAAGAGCTACTACAGTTAAAAAGAGAACAGTTATA